CCTGTCCCCCCCCCAGACTCTATTCCCCCCCAGGCTCTATAGGTTCCATAGCCCTCCCCCAGGCTCTATAGCGCCCCCACAGCTCTATAGGCCCCCCCCAGGCTCTATAGCCCCCCCACAGCCCCTGTCCCCCCCCAGCGGGCTGCCCTACTACTGGAACGTGGAGACCGACCTGGTGTCGTGGCTGTCCCCGAGCGACCCCAACTCCGTCATCACCAAAGCCGCGCGCAGGCCCAGGGGCACCCCAGGTGGGACGGGACCCCGAAACCGGGGGGGGACCCTAAACCCGGGGGGGACCCCAAAACCCGGGGAGTGACCCAAAACCCGGGGGGGGTCCCCAGAACCCCGGGGAGGGGCCCCAAAACCCAGGGGGATTCCTAAAGGCCCAGGGGGGACTGGAGGGGTCCCCAAAACACAGAGGGGTCCTGAAAATTCCATGGGGGGGGTTCTGGGGGTCCCCAAAATCCTGCGGGGGGAATTCTGGGGTCCCCAAAACCTCCCAGGGCAGCTGGGGGAGTCCCCAAACCTGGGGGGGATATGCGGAGGTCCCAAAACCCCGTGGGGGGGGATCTAGGGGTTCCCCAAAACTCCAGTGGATCTGGGGGGGGTCCCCAAGCTCTGTGGGAGGATCTGGGGGGTCCCAAAACCCCTGAGGGGCATCTGGGGGGGTCCACAAAACCCAGGGGGATCTGAGGGCCCCCAAAATCCTGGGGGAGGGGTCTCCAAAACCCTGGGGGGGCATCTCAGGGTCCCCAAACCCCGCGGGGGGAACGGGGGTGCCCCCAGCCCCCCCTGAGCCCCCCAAGCCCCCGCAGAGCCCGAGGAGCCCCCCGAGAAGGAGGAGGCGCCGCGGGAGCGCCGCGGGCACCGGCGCGAGGAGCTGGCACCGTACCCCAAGGGCAAGAAAGGTCCGGGGGGTCCCCGGGATTTGGGGGGTCCCCCGGGATTTCAGGGGGTTTCCAGGGGTGTTCCTGGGATTTTGGGGGGCTCTGGGTGGGTTTCCCTGGGATTTTGGGGGGCTCTGGGTGGGATTCCCCCAGAATTTCGGGGGTCTCGGAGTGTTCCAGGGGTCCCCTGGGATTCTGGGGGGCTCTGAGCACTTCAGGGGGGATTCCCTCAGGATTTTGGGGGTCTCTGGGTATTTTAGGCAGGGGTCCCTGGGATTTTGGGGGTCTCCAGGCGGGTTCCCCCAGGATTTCGGTGGTGGTCCCCTAAGGATTTGGGGGGGCTCCAGGTGTTCCAGGGGGGGTCCCCAGCATTTTTGGAGAGTTCCAGATGGGGTCCCCCAGGATTTCAGGGGGTTCCCTGGGGATTTTGGGGGGCTCTGAGCATTCTGGATGGGTCTGTCAGGATTTAGGGGGGCTCTGGGGATTTGGGGGGCTTTTAACATTCTGGGGAGGGGTCCTCGGGACTTTAGGGGGCTCCGAGGTGGGGTCCTCCAAGATTTTGGGGTGCTCTGAGCATTCAGAT